TGTAGTCTGGAATTGAATTTCCCTTTGTTAAATGTATAGTGGAGTCCATTAAACAAAATCATAATGCAAAGTTTGTCTCATTTTAATAATCAATTTAATAATATTATTATTAAAAAACAAGTCTTAATTGTCAAAAATTATCATTTGTGGCATGAATGAAACTATATTTTTGCCTTTTTGTTTCTGAGAAAATCTAATAAAAAAAGGATCAAATGTAAGGAGTCATTTATGACATATGATAATTACCGGTTTCACTGAGCCTGAATGAAGAGAATGAGAAGTTTTGATCGAGACTATTAATATCCAGTTCACCAGGATATTAATCATATTTCCTTTAAGATGTCAGATACTGTACATGTACATGTAGGTGTGGTAGCCATGTGTGGCTTGAGGAGCTCTGCTGGAAATGTAGATTTGCTTGGTTAAAGTCTTGGCCACAATCCTACGCTTATACATGTATTGTGCGCATACATGTACATGAATATGTTCCACTTAATGTCTTTGTAAATGTTCTTGGATAGGCCTACTATATGTAGGAAAACAGGTTTATAGACATCTCAGGGTCTCCATTTCCAGGCTTTCCCAGAATTTAGGGAAAACCTGGGAAATAAAGATTAAAAATCAGGTTTTTTTTTTTTAGAGAAATCACTCAAATCAGGAGGGGGGGGGGGGGATTATGTTTTTTGTTCCTTTTTGAATCTCTATATACCCCCAATAGTTAAAATAAAACTTTCTCTGGAGAGTTCTGTTAGTGTTTTCTTATAATAAACCTTCCATTTTTCCTCACTCCATTATTCCTCACTAAAAATAGAACCAATCTTTCCCTCTCTAGACTACTGTACAGTACATCACAAAAGGCTGTCGCCTGCAACTTTCTCTGGAGAGTTTTTTCTTATAATAAACCTTCCATTTTTCCTCACTCCATTATTCCTCTCTAAAAATAGAACCAATCTTTCTCTCTCTAGATTACTGTACCTCACAAAACTTTAAAAACTAAAAAATTATCTGTTTAGACTAGACATATATCTTAAAGGGATCCGGTAACTTTGTCTCAGATTCTGAAACAAAATTCTGGATTTAGCTCATGATGCAATGATAATTATAAACCTTTAGGTCAGTCAGGAACCCCATGACTTTTACAAGCCGATCGCCTGTCTGATTATCAAGATATTTATGATTGGAATGACAAATTTTGAAAACCGTTCGCCTGACGGTTTTCATAACACTACAGTCTATTGGGGAAAACAAGTATGGTAAAACCGGTCACTCAAAGATATTTACTTTTTTGAGGCACTTCTTGATCATTTTGAAGCTCAATTTTTTTAGGGCTTCAATATTACACCATATCACAGACACTGATAACACGTAGGGCCGTGTATCTCAGATTTAACATTGTTAAACGATAAATTTAATGACTAACCTACAGTCCATGTAGTAATCAACAAAGGGAGTCCTATTCTGATTCATGTACTATATCCCTTTCCAGCTACAGTACAAAGATAAACATTCATATAATAATAAGAAGGACAAAAATTACAGCTTGATTATAACATTTTTAAATCCTTAATCTTCAGCTTAATTGCAGATTAAAAAAAACTGAACTTAATCATAATTACTAGGCAGTTTTAAAACCAAGAAACTACAACCAGCAGTATGTAACTTCCCTTAATAGTAGCCACCCTACCCTTTTTTCTCAAAAGAGAATGTACGTGTGTACATGTATGGAGTAGGCTTGGGAATATAAATGTACAGGTAGCATTATGCATGTTGAAATAATAATCTTGCATCCAATTTTTCACTTTGTATTATGATATTTGTTGGAGCGGAACATACAGTAAATAGGATTTATCCACAGGATGCCATTCAGATGAATTGAATCCTGGTGATTGGTAGCTGACAATAGGGACGTTCTCACTCAGAGCAAGTACATACTGTACATGTACATATCCAATGTTGTCCAATAGTGTGATACATACATGTATGACTCAATTTTTTTAACAAACTGTGTTAACCAAAAAGATCAAATGTATTCAAGTCAATGCAGTTCAATTAAGTTTGATTTCAATCACACAATTAAAGGTACGTCATACAGGCAATGCTTACATGTACATGTACATGTACATATACATGTACCAAGTACAAGGAAACATAAAAAACATACAAATACATGAAAATGAAAAACGTAACATTACAATGTATACGGTAGTGACAATCGTCAGGACAGTTGGGAAGAAGGGTTTTATATAAAAAGCTGCCAGAAGAAAAATATTTGCATAACATTGAATCAAATTACTATAATAAAATATGAGATTTCACATTTCCTCTAAAAAAACAAATGTGTTAATGATTGTGTAACACGCTAGTATCAAGAGCGTACCAACTCAAGTGCTCATAGTGCTTGCTCCATTATTTCAATGAGCAATCAAGATTGTACAATACAATACAAAGTGTTTCTTATAAAACACTTTAACCAGTTATAACCAACCAAACACTTATGTACTTACATGTATAACATTGTGTGTTGCTGGCTTGCTGCACAGAGGTTATTAGAATCGAGCTATTAAAATCAAATTTTTTAAAGTTTCCTATGTTTGTGAATTGTGAATGGATGCAGAACCGGTGAGATTTGGATCCCATTTTCAGTCTCTTTCTTTTGTTGTTTGTGTGTGAATGGGGGTAATGTATGGATGAGTTCACACGTTTACAGGATGTTCAGACTCTCAGGTTCCAATCCTGATTCCTGATTAACTGTAAACATGCATCCACACATCCTTCAAATGACTTCCTCATCTACTCTCTTGACCAGATAGTGTTATTTCTAGCAGAATATTACTTCCAAAACACAACGTAGCTTTTTTATTACCTATCCAAACGTGGCCATAAAAACCATATGTAAAAATTGGATAAAATTGGGTTCTTTTTTTTTGTTTGATGTGACACCACTTTGTTAATTGCCATTGGATGCTTCATACTGGTACATGCCATTATACAACTGAATTTTAATTATACAACTAAATTATTCATAACCTTTACGGGCAATATGGTAGATTAAAAAAGAAGCAGAATAATGATAATACATAGAATAGTAAAGAATAGGGGAAGGTGGATAAATACAGGGGGGGGGGGAGGGGACAAACAATGAAATAAAGAATGTTGCGCAATTAAAAAAAGAGAATAATATCTGTAATATGTACTATGTACATGTACAGTACATGTATCTACAAGAAACCTTGTTATCGTGTCATGCAGTCATGAACAGAGCAACATATTCAATCCTTCTTTCCTCGCACTGTTCAACAGTGGAACGCTCTCCCTCTTGAGGTTGTCCTGGCTCCATCAGTGGAAGCCTTCCAGAGACAACTAAAGACTGGGGGGAAGTAAATTCCGGCAATTTTTTTACTGGCACTATGTACACCTGCACACCTGCACACCTGGACATCCCCATGTCGCAACACACATGCACTCGCACACATCTGCAAGAATCTTCAGCAGTGAAGGAGGCAGATTATTTTGAAGAAGAAGAAGAAGAAGAGACCTACATGTATGTACATGTACAATGTGCTTACATGAAAACCCTGTCATACATGTACATGTATATTAGATTGAAATACTTTATACAGACTACAAGGTGGTACCAGTAATGCATTTTATTTGTAATATCATTTTCTACAGGAAGCGTTGGCAGGTGGCCAGAGACAAGAATTAATTTGACCTGCATTGTACATGTCGATATTGTACCCCTCAAAATATGTAGCTAATTGAACGACATTTGTTGGGGTTCAGATACTAAAGGGCTCTGGTATGGAGCCAAAATGAGGACATCGAATGAGATCTGCCTCATGTTAATTTTGTATTCTCTGAGCCATATGAAGATTTTTTTTTTAAAACCCTACAAACCCAGATTAACACTCACTTTTACAGATCTAGCTAGCATACATTTTAGTTTGAAGAAAGAAGGTGTGTTTCTTCCTACTTGATTTCAATGATTTGGTTATAGAGTCTTATTTTATAGTCCTACCCACTTTTTAGGGGAATCCCCGTGTCCAAATAAAATCCTTTGTTGTTCTTATCTTTTGTTGTTGGAGGGCTTATTTTCCCCTTCCCACTTCCTTATTATCCATCTGTGATTTGGCTGATACTTCTGGTTTAAGGAACTGAAAGGGATTCTGATTAAAACAAGTTGTAATTTGCTTCTTCTTCTTCATGATCCATCTCTTATGTACCGGAGGGTTGATGGATGTGATGTACAGTAAGTGGTAGAGTAGTGGTCTCATAATACTAACAGCAAGGTCATGGATTCAATACCAAGTGTCTATTGCCCTTTGATAACTAAGGGTCATTGTACATGTACATGTTTAATCCTCATGAGCAAGTTTCCCTCAGAGGAATTAAAGCCGAAGATCTGCTTGTCACTTTGCGTGGGCTAGAGACATACAATGTACTGTACCAGTACTCTGCCTTCCAATGGTGTGCTTTGTGTTTCTGTGTTTTGTCACATGCTCTGGTAACCATTGCCCCAAGCTTTATTTTGTCAAAGATATGGGGTTAATGTCAGGATTGCAATTATGTTGTCAGTTAGGTTTAGAGTTAGGATAAGAGTGAGTCATATATTTTGATCTAGGGTTGAAATTGTGAATGATAATAATAATATTTTTTACATATAATTGCATGTCTCTATGTGCTTTACAGAACAGAATACATAATGAGTTGAAATGGTGCACTGGGTTCATAAATGTGAGGTCTTACAAAGTGCTTACCGGTAATAAAAATTTCAAATTACTTCTGAATGTTTCATATGTTTCTATGGTATTCCAGCAAGTTATTACATAAAACAGTGGCTGCATAAATGTGGGAATGCAGTACTTTAGGTCACCTAAATGTTGGTATTGCATGCTGGGGCTTGATTATTGAGACACTTGTACAAGTGAGAGTTAAGGTCTTATGTATGATACTATTATTAACGCAAAGTATTATAATGACACCATTGTTGATTCTTTCAGCGGAGGCAGTGGTGGAGTTTGACTATGATGCCGTCAATGGGGATGAACTCACTCTCCATAAGGGTGCCATCATCAAGAACATAAACATGATGGAAGGAGGATGGTGGGAAGGAGAAGTCCATGGTAAAAGAGGAATGTTTCCAGACAACTTTGTCAAGGTGAGTGATCCTTCATCATCAATAATGCTCAAATACATACACATGTGCATGTGTGCTTTAAATCTTATTAGCCTACATGTAAGTCCAGAGAACATGATGTGGACGATTTACTACATTTACATTATAAAAACGTGTAACTTATGATCGTATGATGATATTGAAGGGTACAAACAATACATGTGCATAAATATTGAAAGATATTGAAAGATGAAATCCATTGCCACTTCATTAAACTTCCTTATTTACATCAATGTACGTGCTGCACACACTTTGGTAGCTAACTTTTTTATGAGCACCGCAAGTTTTAAATTAATGTGTACAATACATGAAAACATGTATGTACATGCATACTGTAAAAGTACACTAATGACTGATAAGCAGTAACATATGATCTGTGTTGGAGATATGTTACACAAGTTAAAGAGAGCAATCAGTGTTTGTCATAGTTTTCATCGTATATTTTCAATTAGTCAGAATACTCAGATTTTTCAAGATACGGTCCTAGATAGCTGGAAAATGTTGCCTTCTGATGTATACTGAAGCATTTATACATGTACATGTACACCTGTGACACCTGTACAGTAAGCAGTGTCGAATAAGCACCAGTATCAATCCATGTCACATTTAAATCAGGATTTGTTTAATTTGGAAACAGTGAATCAATCCTAGACTGGGCAGATATTACATCAACATTTTTGTGTATTAATGGTGAACTTTAAGAGATTGTTTACGGTACATGTTTTGAAATAAAAAGAAGTAGCATACATGTATCCTGTTCTGGTCATTACTATTCATCACTCGTCATGGCTTTAAATTAAATCAGTGTCATTGTTTTAGAAACAGACATGTACAAATAATAACTATTGATATATTTCATTATTTACTGAGTATATTTATGATTTTTTTTTTACCCCCAGTAACCTGAATTAGGTCAATCTGTCTGAGAGTCTGATATGACTTGTATTTCCTGCTAATTTTAATTATTTCTTCTTTTTGTTTTGGTTGTGTTTTCAGTAATGGTCAATGTGCATAGTGATGGGCACTTCGTCAGTCCTGATCAAAACAGACATTCCTTTTTTTTTTTCTATTTCTCTCTCTTTCTCTATTCACAATTGTAAATCGTTACAAGGAACTAAACATGTATTGTTTTGCACACTGATTTTGTTTCTATATAACGGGACTGTATATGGACATTGTTCTTGTAGAATTGTAGTTGTTCAGTTCTGAAGGAGGTTTCGTCTGAATGACAAGTACTTGTGAGATTGGAAGGGTATAAGCCAATAAGATGCAGAGATAAGCTGAGAGGAAACCAACTTCCATTCCGTCTCTTAGGACTGAGTGCTCATGGTTGTATACAGAGGTGAATGTGAGCTGGTTTCTTGTACGTACATGTAGGTAGGTGAGTTTCAAATCAGGGACATTGTTTGGGGGTAGGAATCTAGCAGACTGTTTGCAGAGTGTCAGGACCATATGCCATGTTGTGTTTCTGTGGTTGATGTTGTGCCAGGATCTCTTTATTTGGTGATGTGACCAACCCGGATTTAACGATTAAACGTGAGCCTCGCCTTACCTAAAGTCTCTTCTTAAGGAAAGTTTGCTGTCTGGGCTCAAATGCTGGATTTGACAAGGACTTGAATTCTATAGATGTTCCTCTTCTTGCGTAGTTTTACAACAATGTAACTGTTGTGTGATTTTCTTTTGGCAAACAATTACAGGTTGGCAACATCATTCTGTTTGTGTTCATGTGCCATATACAATGAAACCAATATACATGTACATGTAGGCCTGCCTATACAGACAGCTCAAGGGAGACAAAGGACATGGTCTTTATTGGCAGGTGGTACATGTATGTACAGGTTCCTTCAATACATGTTTCAATGAGAACTACTTCATAGGAAATAAAATTGTCTTCATGAACAGCCTAACAGGTGGTCTTTTCTATACAGGTGGTTGCTAAAACAGGTTTCACTTTATCAACTAGTGATTGCTAAGCCCCAGAAGCCTTGTCCCAGCTTTAGGTGATCAGGAATTGAGAGGTGATTGACCTTGTATGAAGTGATCTGTTCTTTACCATCAATACTCTGCCTTTGACCGTGGACCTACATGGTTTGACCGAGTTTATCTGACCAACGGGAAACACCAGCAGTGTCATCGTTACTGACCCAATTCAGTGTCTTTCAAAAGAAATAGCTCACTTTCTCCTTCTATCTCATATTGATTTCATTCCTATTAGCTCTGATTAATTCTTCACTATTCCACCTACATGAACCACCTGATTTTGCCTTAGGTCATTGAGAAGCCCAGTAGTACACAGAAGCCAGCCGTAACAGCATCATCGTCTTCGTCCCCATCCTCATCGATGAAGTCATCATTACCGACCCCATTCAGTGTCTCAAAACATACAGCTCAGTTTCTTGTTCTGTCTTGTATTGTCAGGTCATTGAGAAGCCAAGTCCTGCTAGTACACAGAAGCCAGTCGTAGCAGCAGCACCGCCAGCTTCGTCCACATCGTCATCCTTATCATCATCGTCATCGATGAAGTCACATGGTCCAGGTGTAGCCAATGGGGATGTGTCGTTAGGGAATACAGAGATGGGTGATGAAGCTAAAGTCAAGAAGAGAGGTGAGGCCATTTAAGCATAATAATAATAATAATAATACTCCGCTTTATAGCGCTTAATACAATGTCTCTTAAGTGCTTTACAGATATACTATTATCCGGGTCATTGGATTCAGTGCTTGCCCGCACACACTATGTCCACAATCTCCACTACCTGGGGAGCATTCCAGCCAGGCGTTACCTGACGCTCAAAAACTGTTTGACCAACAATGCCGGTCGCATCCTACCGGGTATCCATTTAACAACTGGGTGGAGAGTATCAAATGTAGACATGGCCTTAGAACCAGAAGGGGGTTAGTAGAGATGTCATTATCAAGCGGTCTAATCATTGACAGGAAAGTCAAAGGTTGTGGATTCAAGCCCCAGCACAGCACTTATGTCCTGGAGCAAGGTATTTTTATCTACATTGCTCCTCTCCACCCAGGGCGTTAAATGGGTACCTGGTAAATGTGAACAGGACACAGGTGTATAGTTGGATTAGCATGTGCAAATCCGTAAAAGGGTGACTGGCTAGAAAGACCCTCCCCCCCCCCCCTCCCCCAGGGAGTGGTGAGTGTGCACTGTAATGTGCAGAATCATAACAGAATCCAGTGAAGGGGATAATAATACTGTAAGCGCCTCAGTCTGTTATACATGTATAGTCACTGGTGAGAAACGGTTATTATTATTATTGTTATTGTTATTATTGTTATTATTGTTATTGTTATTATTGTTATTATTGTTATTGTTGTTGATGTTGTTGCTGTTATTGTTTTTGGTTATTGTTATTATTAATATCGTTATAAGGGCATTAACTCATAGAAGATAATAACTGCATACAGTACATGCGAATCGTTTAATGCCCTTTTGGCGCACAGCAGTCATTTTTTTTTATAGTCGTTTAATTCCTTTTTCTATCTAATGTTATGTTTAATCTTGTATGGTATGTTTCTACTGGATAGCAACTAATGGGTTGAATTTTGATATTTGAAATTTGTTTTTACATTTGGCCTGTTCCATAATTAAAAAAAAAAATCGGTGTTCTATTACCGTACCATTGCGCTCTGAAATATGAAACCGGGAGATGAATTCAAAGAGTTCAAATACTATCAAATTCTAATTGAAATATTTTGAACTATTAAAGATGCTCAGAAAATCTATGGAAATTTAACTTTTCACACATTCAAATAAGAAAAGAAAGAGAAAAAAAAAGATGGGATTGTACATATATGTGCAATGTATGCTGCACAAAAACAAACAAAAAACAGAAGGAAATAATACAAATCCTTTTTAATAAGAAGGATTCATGTACCTATGAAGGCCTAGAGGCTAGATAGGAAAAATAAGGAGAGAGAGAGAGCGAGAGAAAGAGAGAGAGAGAAAGAGAAAGAGAAAGAGAGAGAAAGAAAGAAAGAAAGAAAGAGATGGGGAGGGAGGGTAAGAGTGATAAGAGAATAGAATAGAAGAAATGTTTGAACATTTGCTAAATCAGGGAAGTAAAATCATATCATTTTCAAAATCATACACCTTGGAGTTGTTATTATGAGGTGATTGTAAAAGTACTTCTCCAATGTATCACTTGCCCATGTTACTGTACCTCTCGGCACATGTGTCAAGCAAAGCAGGTTCTACTGGAGGGAGAGCTACAGGGTGTAGTTACATTTACATGTAACTCCTATGTCTTGGGTCACCGTCTTTGAGTATTTCCTGTTTTTAGAGGAAGCGTTCGTCTGCGTCACTCAGAGGTGCATGTACGAGGTCTCCCACATAATAAAGCAAACTCACTATGATCCCTACTTTAGGACAGAACCGGTAATACAAAATTAATTTAGTTTTAGTTTTACGACAATGTGAGATGATGCAGCTATACCCTTTATGGACATTATAATTGTGTGTTAAATGCACAAATGATAGTATAGAATTACATATAGATAGATAAATTAAATAAATTAATTAATAAATATATATTGAATGAGTGAAAATAATTGTGGTCATTGAATACATTTGACCTCAGTTACCAATATTTTGTGTCATTACAATTCTAATTCAGTATTGATAAAATCAACATTTGATATTGACGAGTACAGCTAGTCCTCTTGATCCTTATTCTCGTGCAACAGTCTTTTCAGTGAGCTAACAAGACTTGAAGTTGTACCAAGTCACATGCCTGCAAACTGGTATTCTAAAGAAATCAAATGTATATGCTCAAAGTCTATTTAAGATACTACATGTACAATGTATGTATCTAGGGGTACTGGGTTTAGTGTTGTGCCAACAATGTTAGAAGATTTGAATATAGCTAATTCTGGGATGCAGGAAGTACCAACACGCAATATATTGATGATAATAGTTTTTTTTAAATATGATGAAATAGCTCATTTGGTTTGGTTAGTCTTTCCATAGTTAAATGATGAACACATAATATTTTGTTCTATTTTTTTCAACCAGGATATTATTATATTGTATACAAATGAACCATGAAATTACTCACTTCAGCACTATGCGTGATAGATACAATCATTTAGGCTGCATGAATGACTTCATGCTTCAAGCTTAAACGCTTTAGGAAGTCATTATAACCTTTGAAAAAGAATGTGATCAAAATAGAACTGTAGTAGATACATGGTACATGTACATGTGCATGCCATGAGCATAGCGAGCTCAGTCTTTGAATTTTGCTAATGAAAAATTTTGAGGGAAATTGTTAAATGTCAATAGTTATGAAATCTCTGGACACTTACAATTTGGGGGAAGGCATGTGTTTACTAGTGACCACCTGTCTACAAAGACCAATTTTGGGGTTTTTTCCTTGAAAACAGTTTCTCGTTGAAACATGTACTAAAGAAACCTGTCTACAATGACCACTTTTTGTGTTTCCTCTTGGGCGATCACTATAGACAGGTCTGACTGTATCTCCTTTGCTTTATACTTCTGGGCCCTGTCCTGTAAAGAGTTGTGATTGATATCCATGTCAATCGCAACTTTGCAGGCTCCTAGATCTCTTTACCTCTTGTTTAGAGGTATTGATGAGAAGTACTACATGTTGCTATATAGCCTTGTCTCTTGTTAGTGGTTTCTAGACAGGACAATATCATGGCAACTGGGCTATAAAAGGTCAAATTCCTTATGGTTGTTAATTACATCCCAAAAAATAAAACAAACATAACAATGCAATCAGTCATTGTTTACATGGATTGCAGTCTTTAGATACAGACCCCTTCTTTGTAAATTTTTGTTGTTGTCCCATGATAATTAAAGCTAAATACCAGTTCTGGTCATGTGATTGCATTCTGAAAGAAACATTGTGGAATCAATCAGAAAAGGTTGATCATCTAGCATATAAGTATTGGTGTGTACTGCAAGGTTCTGGAATCATCAAAATGATAAGAAATTTGGCCCAGTCTTCGTAAAGTTACAAGCACTGTACACAGAAAGATGTATATGGGACTATACGCACACGTGCGCGACACGTGCACGACACATGCGTTTTTCTCTCACAGACTATAGATAAACTAATTTACCAAATATATCAATTAGTAGGCGGTTTCCCGGCAAAATTTTTATCATCACATGTATTAGTCAAAACATATTCTTTCACATGATTGGTAAATAAGAGCTTCCATTTCATTTTTTAAAATTGGGGCGTTTCCAATACTGGTCTTTACCTTTAATAATAAGGGGAAAAGTTGATTTTTATTTGTATCCCCCTTATATTACTCTTCAGTAGAGGTTTAATTGAATTTCTTTTATCTCCACATTTTAGGTGAAGACATAATTGTACATTCTTTCAAATACATGTACATGTATCTGTGTTCAATGTAGGGATGCGCTGTTGTTAGCTTGTTTGTAGATGTTATTATTCATATCCTTATCAAGTTTGGTAATTTTTTAAGTATGTGAAAAATTGATTTGTTCTGATTTATTTTCTTGCAAATGTGACATATCAAAGCTTCCATTTCAATGTATTCAACGAAGGCCTTGATTCAACCAGTCCAATTTCATTTTTGAGTTACAATTTAATTTAAAATTAAAAAAAAAAAAAAAAAAAAAAAAAAAATCCAATTTACATGGTTTATGAATAATTAAGTTGTTAACTGTACATGTATGTGTATACAGCCTGACATTTTTGGTAAATACACCTGTATATAGTGTGGAGATTTGTACTATTTTATTTTAATCATCTTTGAAATAACAACAAATATCCATGTGTACATTTACATCAGGTTCATTATTGAAACAAAACAAGTATTACAAAATTTAATCATTTAGTTTAAACTGTTGCAGGCCAGTTATAATTATTCATCAACATGTATCAAAACTACTTGTTTTCCATACATGCATGTTGGTAGAATTTCATGCTGTTCCACACGTATATGTACAGTATGTGTACTGTAGGTGTCAAACATTGTTATTGTAACCAAGCAGGAAATACTAGTTAGACCTCTTGAAATATAAGAACCCTGTATTTTCCCCTATGTCTCCAATGTCATTTTCAGCATGAAAACACTCAAATTAGATCATACACTGTACATGTAGTGCCTCTTAGGCTTCTACTTTAAGAAATATTCCTGAATCACTGTACAGATACGTTACACCTTTTGTTTTAAATGTACTTGTATTTGTATGTACTTTGCATAATTCATTTTTTTGTGTACGTCCGTTTCCTGCTGTTATAGACAGCGTGTCCACACACAAAACAATTTATCCCGAAACTCTATAACGAAATGTTGTATAAAGAATCATCGTATAAATTTCAGAGTGTCCACACACAAGAAACGTCGTATAAATAATCATTGTATAAATTCCAGGATGTCCACACACAGAAGAAAGTAATTCTGAAACTCTCCAGCGAAATGTCGTATAGTTGCGCAGTTTGCTACTGCGGTCATGAAATGGAAGAGAAAATGAGAGGTCTGGTCTCCTTTCGCTCAAGGTCACGTTAAGCCCCGCCCAGTTAGTTACACTAGTTACACTCCCCCTGTCCACACACAACATTTTCCGTGATTAGGCATGATTCTTTATTGAGTTTCAGTTCGAAACGATGCCCAAACCTGCGTTTCGTTAGACTAGTTTTGTTAAACGACGTATCGTTAGTGAGCGTCCACACACACAATTTTCATCGTAAAACTATCGCGAAACGGTATAGCTAATCATGGAAAATGTTGTGTGTGGACAGGGGGAGAGTTGTACTGTAAGTGCAACTGTGTTGACAATTCTACTACTTTATGTGTGTGCATTCAAAAATACAATTTTATTGTACATGTACACTCTATGTATACATACTGTACACTGTACTAAATAAACACAAGAATTTATGTTTATATCTCTCTTTTTTTAGACCACTTAATCAATATTTGAGCTTGACACTTTAAGTAAGATCCCACTGGGGCATTTACATGTACATGTATCCACACATTTCGTCAATAAGCAAACAAAAATTGTGATAACTATGCCAAATGTTATAGTTATCAGAAAGCACCATTTTTCGTTGGTCACTCTTAGTAGGTCCATGCTGGTCATACCAATAGTTTCTTCATTTGTGGATGATACATGTATGTGTACAAGATAATGTATATGTCGTACGTGACACATTGCACAGAGTCGTTCATTGGTTTTTCCTCTCTGCTTTCAGTAGAGACAAATATACACATGTACACTAGCTTATATTTGGCACATGAAATACATTTGTACCTGCTGAAAATCATCTCTGTGGTAATGTGTCAAAATATGAAATAATTCACATTTATTCACCCTTGTATTACAGTGTAATTGTACATTCTTACAATTTTTCTAGTTCTACTTCTATTCATTTTCATGATGATGATGCTGGACTTGCAGTTGTTGTTATTTCCTTAATAAATTGTTTTTTTGGGGGTGAGGGGTTTAACCTTAGACAATTATCAAATGCTTCCTCTTTTACATCAGAATATGTACAGTACATGTACATTACTTGTACCAAAAATGCATTTTTTTTTTCTTCTCATTTTCCATTTTTCTTCTTCTTCCCATTTTCCATTTTCAAGGAATTATGGAAATCATGGAATAATATCAATACATCTAATTTATTATTATGATTTATACCATAAACTAATTATTTTACCTTATATTCTATGTTTTGAAGATTGAAACTGAAAGGATCATACATGTATATGAAGTTGTATCAAATAATCCAATAGAGGTTGAATAGAGCTTTAAATTACACAACAAATTTTTTTTTTCAGGAGTGTCATTGTATGCCAGTTTACCATATCAATTCTCTGTTTTGGTTTCTGATTTTTAATCAAGGAACTATCCGTCTTGCTATTTACGGTAGTTTTTTTCTCTCTGTAATCAAAACAAAGCTCAGTCTCTATCTGTTTCATATTCTTATTGTTTTGTTCAAATAATGTTATTTACTTCACTGAAATGAAATTAACATATCTATGAACCAAACAAATTAGTTATTGTTTTTATACAAATAAACCTCTCTATCTATGTACCAAATGCATTGGTTACCCTTTAAATTAGATTATTCAAATAATGTCACAAATTCTAATTTGTGTACAGAAAAAATTATGGTTACTAATTAATCATAACTTAATTTTCATGAAAACAAATTCTTAGTGAATTACAATGTAAGTACCTGTATTTAAAGCAAATTCTAATTCTTTTTGGCTTGTCTCATATGATTATAAGAGGAAGACAAAGATTTTATTCTGATTGGTTTGAGTATGTATCTGAGCTAACTGAATATAATGTCCTGCTTGTTTGATAAAGGGCTGCAGTAAGAAGAGAAATATAGAATTCATTTGGGGCATTGCAAGAAAGTTGCGATTGATTGCAAGTTGCAAAATTTGTAACTGATATTTGTAATCGATTGCGACTTGATTTTCTTGCAACTAGTCTCCTAAATTCCCTAAGATTTTGTTAGGATTAAAGTTATAACAATCAAATTAAGTTAACTAGATCTAGCTTTTTTTCTTCTCCTTCCTCTCTCTCTCTCTTTTATTAGTGGGGCGTTGCAAGAAAGTTGAGTTGTGATCAATTGCAAATTTTCAATTAATCGCAAGACTTATGCTTGGGGGATTTGCAATTGATTGCAACTTTCTTGCAATACCCCATTAGTGATTTAAGTACTTGTACATGTACATGTATGTATGTAAACCAAACTTTGTATTATATTCTTTTCTTTTGACAGAGGGCGGGAGTAAGAAGAGGAAGATGCGTGCAAAGGTGACCTTCAGCTATAGCCCTCAGAATGAGGATGAGTTAGAGCTGGTAGTGAATGAGACAGTAGAGGTCGTTGACCAGCCAGAGGAGGGATGGTGGGAGGGTGTCATCAAGGGTAAAAGTGGTCTCTTCCCTTCAAACTTTGTCACCATGGTGGATGAAGATGATGCCTCAGAAGCAAAGTCAGAAGGTGAGTATCCAATCTCCTTATCCCTTGACGGACTTTCGTTTTTTTCCCCTCACTCCGATCTTCTCCTGGGCAGCATTTCACAAAACCGTTATACATGTAAGTACAAGTTCACTGACATCCCATTGAAATAGGTGTATTAAGTTTAACACGCCTTTCGATTGGATGTCAGTGAACTTGTACTCGTCGTGATGGTTCCATGAACCGATGCCAAGGGCATCTCCTTTTCTTATGATGGACTTCCCCCCCCCCTCTCCAGTCTTGCATACTCTTCATTTTTATTTCTGCATCAATTCATATCAAATTCCATTCTCTCATTCATTTTCTCTTCCTCCATATTATTTGTTCCTCCATTTTATTTCCTCTCTTATTCTCTAGTCTGCTACTTCTCTTTTTAATCTTCTCTAAACAACAACCTGTAATGTTTGGGCTTCCTCGTGCTAATAGTATTTTATTAATTATTCCTTTGTATGTGCTCCTTTTCATTAGTCCTTAGTATGACTGTGTACATTTATATCTACTAATTGTTAACCACAGAGTCCTATCCTGTAAGCGACCGGGCAAGCCATAGAGACACATTTTCCCTCAAGACATGCATGTATGTGTCCCAACCTCGGTTCTTTTCTTTCTGCATTTTAAGCAATGTTTCCCAAACTCTGATGATGATGATGAATCATGACTTCATGTTTATTGATGACATCACTATCAGGCTTCATTTCTCCAATGTTACAATTGATGTTCTTCATTACCCCTCATCCCGTTGTCCCTAGCGGTATCATCTTCTGGAGGAACCACGCCCATGGAGGAGGAGAACAAACCTGTGAGGAAGATCAAGAGTTCAGGCATTGGACATGGTAACATATTTGCTCAAGGGATCCCTCAGTTGAGGAAGACGCCTACAACGGATAAAGAGCCACGTACTCAAGCTAAAGCTGCTGAGTCTCACCCTTTTGCTTTGAAACGGGTGAGGATAAAGATATTACAACTACTGGTCTTAACTTTAAAGCGGGACTGTACTTGCTCCCTCTATATAGAAAACAATACCGTTGTTCCGCCATGGTCCCCTTTTTCTTATGTAAATTGAGAGCTGATTTGATGAGATAACCACCTGTCAGTGACCATGGAGGGAGGTCTAATCTCTCTTGGCCAAACTAGTGCAGATAGGCTTTAAAGGTGGTGGTGGTAGCTTTAATATGGAATATTGATAAAGTCAAACCTGTCTTAGTGGCCACCTCTCCATATTATCCCTGTGGAGAGTTTGATAGTATATTTGGGAACATTTCTCCTTTCAATGTATGAAGGAGATGTAGTGCTCATTTCATATATGTATAATTGTATATATATGCTCCTTAGGGCTCCTTACATATTATACACTTGCTTACATGTACATGTGACTTATGTTTTGTACTGAATGTGTTTAGATGTCATTACGGAAGAAAGAACACGAGGAGAAGAAGGATGAGGAAAAGAAGGAAGACAAGAACGCATCATCAGCGGCAGAAGCAAAAGGTTGGTATTGATATCTTTCATTACAAATTACATAATCTAATTCATGAGCAAAATATAGACAAGACAAAAACTAGTCATGGTCGGCCCTATGCATCATACCGTAGAGACAATGAAATAATGCTTGAAGATTATAATTGAGGTATTTTTTGTGTAGCATTTATGTTTAAGTTCTCATACATGTACATGTATATGAAGATGGATAATATGGACTGTTCATAAGAACTTTCTGCGCCCCTGTTGCCCCTGTTGCCTCTGGCATGCTACAATAATTCTATTCATGTTTGTGTATTTACAATATTTACATTAAAGTCAAATGAGATGTAATGATCATCTTTTATATGGTTAATGTACAGTCAACCCTGTCTTAGCAGCCACCTGTCTGTAAAGGCCACCTGTCTATAGTGGTCAATTCTCCTGTTCCCTTGGGTGACCTTAAAGCAGGACTGCACTACGTGTAGCTACATGTACTTGCGCCCTCTATACAGCCAACAATGCCTTTGCGGTACCCGTTGATCCATAATGGTCCCCTTTTTCTTATGTTAATTAAGAGCTGATTTGATTAGATAACCACCTGCCAGTGACCATGCAGGGAGGTCTAATCCCTCCTGGCCAAACTAGTGCAGATAGGCTTTAATAGACTTTATTTTGGCTGTATTTAAACATACCGGTATATATGTCATATTATATCCTCTCATCTCTGTCCAGGGATATTTAAAGTGAAGGTAATATACGACTACGAGCCAAAGAACGGAGATGAGCTGCAGCTGAAGAAGGGAGAGATTGTGACAGTCATCGATAGAGATGCTGGTGATAGCGGCTGGTGGAAGGGAGAAGTCAATGGTAAAACCGGTGTCTTTCCAGACAACTTTACAGAAGAGATTTCTGAAGAGGTAATTATATATTAATCTATCTATTAAGGTATATTCTTCCAGCTCAGAGTTTGATTGCAACATTTCTCCACACATCTCTGTTCTCTTTCATTATAGTACATTCTTGCAGTGTCATTCTCCTCCCAGTTAGTTCTTGGTTTCCCTCTCGGTCTGGTACCTTCTACTTTTCCTTTCGATTAATCTTTCAAGAGACACTGATGTCTTTTAATGTGGTCAAAGTAATTGTAGAATTGAGCAGTAAAACGATCAAGTGAACACAATAAAGATCATGATAGGCAGTTAATAGGTTGAAGCAGTGACATGATTATATTTTAATAGTTTGCATTCATGAAGAGTATGTATGAAATTGCTAGTCTTCAATTTTGTACTCCATTTTAAAGCCTATTTTATAGCCGGAATTGAAGATGTATGCTTCCCCCCCCCCCTCCGAAAATCAAATTGTGTCTTTGTTCATCGTGGGTTTCCATGCTCATAGACAACTGACCCTATTGTATATTGTAAAAATGCACCTGTGGAACCATCTCCCTCTGTGCATTCAGGCTTCACTATCTCTGTTTTCCAAGAATTCCTGAATATCTTTCTATTCAACCATTGAATCAGTCATTGTATGTCCTTGTAGTATTTATATATTTATTGTCTCAAGTGAATTACAGTAAGTACATTTATATAATAACTTTGTAAAGCATTGTAATTAAGTTGCTGTATTAAAGATGAAGTTGAGTTCTGGTCATGTGATTGCATTGTGATAGAAACGGTGTGGAACCGACCAGAAAAGGTTGATCATCTAGCATGTAAGAATTTGTGTGTATTGCAAGGTTCTGGAATCATCAAAATGATAAGAAATTTGGCCAAGTCTTGGTAAAGTTACAAACACTTGCACAGAAAGATGTATATGGGACTACACGAACACGCGTAAAAAGCCGGCCCCCCCCCCCCCCCCCCCCCCCCCCCCCGATTTTTACGATGTTACATGCATATTTAGAATATGAAGGCATTTGAAGAGCCATGCTTTTCAGGGAACATGTCTTAACTGATGTTCTTCCACACTTGCATAATAAGAATGAGTAATGCTCACAAATTATTTTTCACCTCTTCCCAGAACTCAACCTTCTCTTTAAAGAGCAAGTGCCAAAACTCTAGTGTACTGTATTGTAAAAGATAATATGTTAATGTACATACATGAAGGCATGATGAGTCACCTTGATTCGCTCAGGCTAATACAACACATGTAATTGAATCCATTCTAGATAGAAACCAAAATAGTTTCTATTAGAGCTGACTTGGGGATATTGAAAGTAAAACTATCAGTACTGTCCTAGGAATATTAGTATGACATGCAGACTGAATGGGATTTTTCTCCTGTTAAAGATAAAGTTGAGTTCTGGTCATGCCATAGTATTTGCGTGTACTGCATGGGTCTGGAGTCATCAAAATGATAAGAAATTTGGCCCAGTCTTAGTAAAGTTACAAGCATTGTACACAGAAAGATGTACGGAACTGCACACACATGTGGCATAACAATATGGTCCTCATTTTTAAGCTGTAACATGTCATATTTAGAATATGAAGGCATTTGAAGAGCCATGGCATGCTTTTCAGGGAACATTTTTTCTCTGACGTTCTTCCACACTTGCTTAAAAACAATGAAAACACTCACAAATTATTTCACCTCTCCTCAGAACTCGACATTCCTTTAACTCTTATGTGCGACAATTACCAGCAGAAAAATAATTGCCCCCCCCCATATATATATATATATATAACAATACATGTCTAGTCTTAATGGCATATACATTGTAATGAAATGACTTTTGCTATGTCTATACACTGTATATAGTATAATTGTGTGCCCATGTATTGAGATAATTTCAAATTACTGTGGAGTTCTCTTTTCTTTTTTTCTCTCCAGAAATCGAAAAAGAAAAATATGCCTGCACCTGTTCCAGCCAGACCTGTATCAGGTAAGGAATAACATAAAATGAATTCAAGTGAATATTATAAAGTGTGGGGTATAGACTACTACACTAATTGTGTGAAAATAATATTTATTAATATTCCTTGATATTTTAACTCCAGAAATTTACTCTCTGTTACAAAATTAACGATTTAATCTGCGACTTAATGCAGACAAAATACATGTAGAACCTGTAAAAGCACTTTATGTAAATTTGTTGCAATATGCACATGAAGCTGTGGAAAATTTCTGGTTGGCATAACACATGGCAAGCTGACATGCTCCAATTGAACCAAGTCATAAATATTTTGGTAGTCCTGGTTATTTCTCATTTATGCTGTGTAAGCTCAGGTTTTGTGCAAGTAGATATGAAATAGATTGATTATCAAGTTGAAGACAAGAAAAAAGATGTGCGGTTGGTTTTTATCAAGCTACATGCGTGTTAGTAATTGGAAGATTAAAAAAAAAATATATATATATTGCGGGAAAAGAAATAGAAAATCAAGTCCATTTGTAAAATTATCTTTCCTTCTTCATTCAGCTAACAGCTGCCTTTAGTGCTGGGAAAATTAGGAAAAAACTATCAAGCTGAAAACAAGAAGAAGTTCAGTACAGTTAAAAATGTGTTGTTAAAGTGGAAAGAGAAAATAAAAAAAGAAATAAAGTGAATATTGCTGATTATTGCCCTTGATTAGGCTTATTTCGTGGGTCAGACGACGATCACCATACACTGTCTGCACCACCACGTAAGATATAATGATTAACCTTCTTATCAAATCAGATATACTTACAGAGCACATTATAGGGCATATATATACTATTGGTAAACCATTCTGTATGACTCGCATATCTTCTGCTTTTCATTATTCTCATATATTTCATTGTTTGGATTCATATGTCGTCTGTTCAGAGCCAGAAGGGTGTTAAATATGTCTTAAAGCCACACTGCACTACTTATAGCTACTTGTGCCCTCTACACATGTACAGCCAACAATGCCTAAGTGGTACCTGTTGATCCCCCATGATGCCCTTTCTCTTATGTTAATTGAGAGCTGATTTGATGAGATAACCACCTGGCAGTGACCTTGCAGGGAGGTCTAATCCCTCCATGCCAAACTAGTGCAGAGGGGCTTCAAAGGATAAATACATGTATAGTAATGCCCTTCTGGCTCTAAACAGACAATAAATCGCATTAAGCAACTCATCTTTGTATACGGTACAGGGTCATCTCATTCTGATATTTATTCTATTAGTACAGTCAAACCTGCTTTAGTGACCACCTGTATAGAAAGACCACATTCTTGTTCTCTCCCTTGAAATGATTTTCATTAAAACATTTACTATTAAAAGGAACCTGTACATAAAGACCACGTGCCTATAAAGACCACTTTTCTTGTTTCCATTAGGTGATCTTAATAGACGGGTTTCACTGTATATGTATACGTGTGCTTTATAGTTGTCCTTAACCCTTACTGTACTGGGCTATTTTGAGCACCTCCTGACTGGGGGGGGGGGGGGGGCCTGGGAGGCCCCCCCCCCCTATGATCTCGGCCGTCGGATGTCCGATGAACACGAAAATTTGCATGTTTGTAGATATTTACGTAACGAACAAGACGGTGTAATTAGTTTTTTGCAAATATGTAAATTTTTGTCGTTATAGCCTAATTAATTATGCAAAATGCTAATTTTATGCATTTTACAGAAAACGTGTCAAACTTCACTTTTTGAACGTTGAAACTCATTATTCATATGAAACTTCTTTTCTAACACAAAATATTTATTTGGATGTAATTAATAATGATAATTTATGCAAATTTGATGCGATTTTCAAATAATTATTTTCTTATGTATTTTATTGTTTTTTTATTTCTTATTATATCTATTGTTTTTATTTCTTATGTATTCTTTTGTTCTGGAATACATCAAGTTACTTTGAGAAACACATAAAAGCAATTCGATATCAATTCATATCACCCACTTAGGAAGGAATACATCTAAACCTGTATTCACATTTCTGCTTGTACATGAATATATGCAATTATAGCATATTTTTGATGACATGCGCATACTAATTGTTATGTAACACCTCACAGGTATATCCGATTGCGACGAAAATGGTATCAAAACGTGCGTAAGACTTGAGGGAAAAAAGTCATGAAACGACAATTCAAAATTTCAAGCGGTTGCGGCGCAATCTCCGAAAATGTCGAGGGGGGGGCCTCCCAGGCCCCCCCCCCCCCCCAGTACAGTAAGGGTTAATATGTTAAGATTTCATTGCCAAATTTAAAAAAAATGCTGTATCTGATGATGATCAAGTGTGTTTAGTCCTATCCCACAGGCTGTAGTAAACTGCCCTGGAAAAAAAGAAAAAGAAACTGCTGATGCATGAACGCAAAAAGAGGAAATTATTTGTAAAAAAATGACAGGTTTCTGTAACAAAAGAAATATCTGCATGCAACTAAAGCCCTACTTGCATTCATTTATCAATTGAATCTTATTTCTTTTGGACTGAAGTCATCAGAGTTTGACACTTTTTGTTCAAATGTCTTAACTAAAAGCAGAGCAAACAAAGCAAAGTCATAACCTATTGTTTATTGTTTACTGTTGTCCCTATTAATTCAGAAGTCATAATCCTTTAAAGCCCCACTGCACTACTTGTAGCTACTTGCGCCCTCTATATAGCAAGCAATGCCTAATCGGTGACCATTAGTCCCCCATGATCCCCCTTTTCTGATATTAATTGAGAGCTTATTTTTTTTAGATGACTACCTGTCAGTGACCATGCAGGGAGGTCTAATCCCTCCTGGCCAAACTAGTGCAGTGGGGCATTAAAAGCAATTCTTAGTCACATTTAAGCCTCGTTGAGATATGGGATATTTTCTAGACCAAATATCCTGCTAATTGCAAACTTGAGCTGATGGCCTTTTATAATGTTTCTGGTTACTCTTTATAGAGACATGTTTGTTGTATCTGCATTTTAAAAATATGGCATATTGTAGCTGTTATTATCATCATTGTCCATGTATATTGCCAGCAAATGTTTATCTATCTTGTAGCAGAAAAATTGTTTCTATAATTAGAGCAGTGCAAAAAAAAGAAGATAAATTTTCTTGAATCAATTCTCATCATGTCTTTTCAATTATTATTTTTTTGTCATTAATGATCCATTGTGACCAAATTGTGATCAAATTATGATTAGATTATTAGATTGTGTAGAATTTATATTAATCTGTTTACAAGTTTAGCACATTTTCTAACTTCCTTTTCATACCTTTAGATGTTTGTACTGTACATATATGTCTATGTCTAGTAGTAGTATGTCAATAGCAACACAATACTAGAAGTCAATTGAACAAGTCTATTAATAATCAATCATGCTTTAAAGTGTTTGTGGTTTTCTTTCACAATGTATGTCATTCTGGTATAAGAGGCTAGTGGTTTAGTTTTTCACTACTTTACTGGTTTCTCTTCTAACATAGGTGTTGTCCTACTGAAAGAGTAGAGCATTATTGGTACTTACAGTTGAGTCTGGTCATGCGATTGCATTGTGAAAGAAAAGGGTGTGGAACCGATCAGAAAAGGTTGATCATCTAGCATATAAGTATTGGTGTGTACTGCAAGGTTTTGGAATCATCAAAATGATAAGAAGTTTGGCCCAGTCTTGGTAAACGAAACAAGCACTGTGCACAGAAAGATGTATATAGACACACAAAAATGTGGCATAAAAATGTGGTCCTCATTTTTTAAAGCTGTTACATGTCATATTTAGAATATGAAGGCATAAAAGATCCATGCATTTGCAGAGCCATGCTTTTCAGGGAACATTTTCTCTGATGTTCTTCCACACGTGCATAATACAAATGAAAACGCTCACAAGTTATTTTTCATCTCTCCCAAGAACTCAACCTTCTCTTTAATACTATGTAATCATTGCATAGAGTAGATTAATAATGTGAGCTGTTTCCACTCTACCGGTATATTACCCAGTCAACTCACTCTATATATAACCCAGTGAACTCACTCTGTATTTACAGTTGACCAGTTAGAAGGGTATTCATTCATAATACATTTATTGGGAAGCATTATTTCATTAAAAATCTCATTCGTTACCAATGTCTGTATTACTGAATTTCATGTTGTCTCTATGTATGTTGAAGCTAATGTGGCTATGTTTGGTATTCAGTTTCTTAACATTTTGCTACACAATTCTCTGCTTTTATTGAGGAACTTTCTTAGTGTCTTCCTTTATATCATATCATTTCTGAAAACTTGCCATGAGGAATACATATTTAATCTTGTTAACAGCTCTCAAGTGAAGCTCCATTTAAAATATTTGCATAAAATTGCATTGCTAAAAGAACTCTATATATTTGTGATTTTACTTCAACTTAAACAATTGCTTTGCTTTACCTTGCTTGCCTTATACATGTACATATGTGTTATTAAACTTAATTGCCTTAAAAATGTAGAAATGCATGAAAAATCCTGCTAGAGAAAGATAGATAATTATGAATATGTTAATATATTGTGTATACAAACAACAAATATGTTTGGCAGAATGGACTTTTTCCACTTCTAAAATTCTCTAGATTTTATTTTCAAATGAGAATTTGTATTAAAAGATGGTTAACAAAGTAAGTACAATACACAAAGAAACTTGTTGATTATAAGCATGTTCATTTTAAACCAAGAAATAAAAGAAAATTGTTTATGAAATGCATTCCTCATTTATTTTGCTAAGCAAGAAACATAGTCAAACTTGGTTTATACAAGTAATACATTCTTTCTGTTACATGATGATTTCTTGGTAACATTAATGACATTTATGCTGTTAATCTTTGTTGATTTCATTCCTTTGTGTACCCATTAGGTCCCTCAAGACCTGGTAGTATGGAGGTTAAAGGTGGTTCCACACAGAAGCCAGGTATTACTAAGCAACCATCTCAGGATAGCAAGTTAGCTCCCAAGGAAAACGGCTCTAGGCATCTCCCTCCTGGTGCTAAACAGGTAAAGAAACATGGTCAGACATTAATCTACATTTGCCACACTCCACCCAGGTGAAGTAAATGGGTATATGGTAGGAATTTATTCCTTGAAACGCAGCACGTGTGACAGCTGCACTGCTAAAGCCAGGGTAATTATGCTGCATTATTGTAGAGCGCTTAGAGTAATAAAGTGATAAAGTAAGTGTTAGGCGCTATATAAGCAAATATAATTATTGATCAAAGATGCAATTTCATCTGCAAGGGCTCCTCGGAAATCTATCAGCAATTCTGTGTCTAGAAACCCAGTAACAGAATTTTTGGTTATCGGTTGGCTTTTTTTTCTTACGCAGGCATTTTAATTACATAAGGCCCGGTTTTTATGTGACATGGTAAACTGTCTAGAAGAAAAAAATAATGAATAGATTTAAAAAGTAAATTAAAAAAAAAACTTTTTGCAACAAAGGTCTCTTATGGTAATCACTTTATATGTACATGTATCCTTGAGTTGTAAGGTACAAAAATGTGAAGTGCACTTCACTTATAACGTCATTTTTATTTTGAAATTAGTTTCTCAGGCAGTTTACTACGTCACATCTTCATGAGGCCATGGTGATGCAAAAGCCCTCAGTCATCATATTTTAATTTGTGTGTGTGTGTTTGTATGCTGGGGGGGGGGGGGGAGGAGTGAAGATGTAAATTCTTGATGTTCTTTTCTTCATCAGGTACTCCCACCACCTACAGCAGGGAGACCACATGTGTTCAACAAGCCTACAGCACTGACCAAGCCTCAAGTGCCGGCATCTAGACCACATGATGTTAAAGAGACATCAAAGGATAGCACCGACTCCGGCAAAACAGATCCCAAAGGTAACAAAACACTTGCTATTTGTGACTTTTTGATACTGGAGTGCATGCGGTCACTCTAGTAGGAATCTCACAAGCGCGTTAAAGCCTTGGTGCTAATACCAAGCATTGGGACTACATAGAAAAAAATGCTGATGGTGAATTCTCCCTGACAAGAGTAATGACAGACCAGGGTAATAAATATCTTAGTTGATATTTTCAACCTGTAATATTGGTTCGGTCCTCCACGACCACCCTCATAGGATATCGAAAAGCCATTTCTCATTCAATTAAAACCTTGGGTAAACCAAGAAGTTTTATAGACCCTTGTTTTCTTTCTTTCCATTAAGATAAGCAGGCAACACACTGAAAGACATTCCATGTTTTATTAGGTGGGCTGTATCTAATACAGACCACCTTATAATTTTGTTAAAATTGCCTTTATTATTATTATCATTATTATTATTTATTTTTCTTATTTCGACCCACTTTTTTGTAGGCAAGATATCTTGAAAATGGTTTATTCAAATACCTTGAAATTTGGCACACATATGAATAGGCATATGAACAAAATGCAACAACTCTGACCTGGACTGATGACGTCATCTAGGCACCATTTTGTAAAATTTTACGAAAATCAACTCATGATCATATCTTCATAACCAAAATTAATTTCGCATTCAAATTTATCATGATCAAGGTCAATATCAGTTCGGTCAATTTCAGGTCAAAAAACGCGCGCATGCGCAAAATTTTGAAATGCTCAAAATCGTCTCAAATTTATTTTGCATACGTTTCAGGTCATTTTAAGCATTTTATAAAAAATCGCGCAAACGCTCATGCGTGCGCATTTTCGCGCGTAACACCATTACACAACATAGAATCGCCATTTTGTTTTCATGATAATTCCCATATTTTTCGAACAATTTGATACCATGTTCATCTATTTATGACCATTAATAATAAGATGAGCGTCCATTTAAGAAAAATGTCTGTTCGCGCGACCTCTTGTAATACATAGCATATATGGGCAAAAACTTGCCTATACAAAATCCATTATAGCTCTTTTGGATAAACCGGAACCCTCAAATGTTTTTTCATATTTGGATAGGGTATGAGTCGGAGATATGAAATCATGTCTCATTTGGCCATTACAAATATCGTGACATCATCACAATGGCCTTGGAACTCAAAATATGAATTTGCATATCATGACGTCAGCATTTTTATGGAAAATTGATTGTATCTCTGTAAATATTGATTGATTTTCTTCCAAATTTGGATATGTTGTAGCAAAGACAATTCTCTACAAGGTTAGTAATCACCATTTTTCATTTTGTTGATGTCATCATAGTGAAAATTTCGATTAAAGGCCTCATTTCAAAAACTTCATAATTTGCGTGTTATGCCTATAGAAGGTGAATTTAGTTTACGTTATGAATCTACATGATATTGTTTTTTAAGAATTTGTAAGCAGTATGTCGCTTATTTTTGCTTTATTTTGTCTCAAATTTTATCTCAAATATGAGTTGACCAGCCCACCTATACTTGTTCAAAACAAGTATTATAATGTCTAGTTTTAATTGTTTTTCTGCGAACGCACACAAATTATAGAACTAAATTCATCTATAGCATTGTGGAACTATTGTACAGGCATACAGTGATATGTGTGCACCCTTCAGTGGCTTCATATTTATACACTAACTTTGAATTCATTTTGAAATTTTTGTGATAATGATAGTTAGAAATCATCTGTCCACATTTATTCTTGACATTGTCATGATTTACCTTTACCTATTAAGTCATATTATTTTGTTCTCTAAATACTTGCTATTCAGAATCAACTTTTGACAACATCACAATCAACACGGAGAAACTGACACACATCAACCTGTCTAGACCGAAAGCAACCCCAAATAGGAGACCGCCCTCAACTTTTGGTATGCCACCGCCTGCTGCATCGGTAAGTGTTGGAACACCCTTGACCAGATTGGACGTTTCCTGGGGCTCGTTTCACAAAGCACTTGTCGCAGCAACAAATGACAAAAATCAGTGACAAATCTGCTGATAACCAATCAGAAGCAAGGATTTCAGTAGCTTATAACAAAAACTATCATTTGTCACTGATGACAAGTTTTGTGAAATGGGGCCCTGGTCATTGGAATGGAATGATAGATGTCCCCATGTTATCGTTAGTCTTGATTGATGCATCAATATAATCATATGATAGATACAGTAGACCGTAGATTGATGTTTGTCCTGTTGGAAAATTTGTAAGACCCCTTGCTTGACTCTGACTGCATTGTTGGCCTTGTATCCCTTGTATCCCTTGCTGCACAGTATCTTGTGAGCTTCCTAGTGCTCTTGTCTTACATGTGATAATACTGTTGGTTAGTCTAATGTCTAGTAACTCAAAAGGTGGTAATAGATGAGTACGTAAGAAAGGGGTGGATAACATTTATTGCTGTAACATTGAGATGTTGATGTAATTTTCAATGTAAAGTAATATATATTACTGTACCATGTAGAATAACTTGCATTTGTGTTTATCTTGAAAGAAAAATGAGGAAAAGGCTAGAATTCACAATTTGTTCTGTTTTTTAAAATCATTTTAAGAGGTATATTTCATGGTTATGAATATGTTCACACAGAGATGGTACCATTTGGAAACATTTACACTAATTAAACAAACAAAGTATTTTTCAAATGCCTTCTGTCTCTTCGCACATGATGCACTGCAGGTCCTAAAGATGAAATAAAGGAGTAAACATTATTTTGATCTTAATTTTGAAAAATATTTAGTTAGTGCTCAATTTTTAAGTAGTGGATTCTTTAAGGGATATTATATGTGCATTAAACTGCTTGATGCATCTTGACTATATTTATTAAAGCCTATTATTTTGACATCATGCTTGCATTGCAAACCCTATGCCTGTTTGATTTGAATTTTGTTTTTGCATGTTTATGAATTTTATTTTGTTTTTCTTTTCTTTATTTTATTTCCTCAATAACCCTTTTAACATTTGTTTTCATTCATTTTTAACTGTGTGATGAAACATTACATCACAATATGTAACCATCATGTTCATTATGAATTTATTTGTGTGTCTCATTTTCAACTGCTGTGAATTTATTTCATTTTCTTGGATGGAACATTCACTAATTCACTGTGTGATCACTAACAAACAAAAATCCTTTTTGCAATGATTTCATAAAAAAAAAACTATTCATCCTCATGGAAAACGCAACAAAATTATTCCTCATCTGGTCATCTAACGGGATAACCTTCACATTCTTTTGGTTACTTTTGTCACATATGATGCTCATTCTTTGTTGTCAAATAATTTTTCACCACCATCCAATTGGATTGATGACAAAAATTCACATTCACACTTCTGTCTTATCTTTCATGAATTCCGGGCAAAAAAAATGGAACTCTTATTTCTTCTCATTTCACTTTATACCACACCCTCCATCTTCAAAACAAATCATAACGATACATTGTACTTCTAACAATCCACATTGACCCATCCTACTTGTCTACCTAACCCCAGTCGTCATCTAACACGCCCCTCTCACCCCTCATCAGTCCCCCTCCTACCTCCACCTCACCACCACTGATCGACAGCGTCGATGGGGGCCCCACCACCACGCCTCACCCCTCCTTCTCCCACACCGACTCCCACACTGACGAGGAGCCTAAACAGCCTCCCCCATGGAGTAGAGACATCAAAAAATCACTTCGTAGGCCGCCTGTTGCACGTCCCACCCAGGATAAGGTGACAATTATATGTGTTTATTGTGGTGTCTTTAATAGTCTAGCTATTTCACTCTTCTTAAAGCTAACCACTCTTTATGATGGGTTTGTGGTGGGTGAAAAACTGACCTAATGTAGGAATAGCATAGAAAACATGTTTTGCACATGCTCTGGTAAAAGCACATTTTTTTTCTTCCAATGACCTTGTGTACAAAGCTTACATTGGACCAATGTTTCATGGTCCTTTGCTTTTATGTTGTTGCTTTCTTCCCCCTTCTGTTAAATGCTAAACAGTGGGAGTTTGATATGACCAGCTCTCTCATATGCCTTTATAATTGTGGCTGACAAACCATTAATCAAAGTATATTGGCAAAGTGTTTTCTGTCCCAAAATCTATAGATTTTATACAGGATTTTGTTACATTTTGATTTGTCAAATAAAGAACTGTTCATGTACTTCCTCAGTGTTGTCCACAGCTTGCATTATTAGTGCTGTCATCAACAGGCCTTATTTGAAACTATGTTGACAGAAGTTGAGTTTTTTTCATACAAAATGTTAGTTATTAAAGTAACTCATACAAATTTATCATTGGAGAAAGCAAAATATGTTGGTGATTCTTTAAACCAAAGCTAATCACAAGTACAAAATTTTCCTTTTGGTGCATTGCTTCTTCATCTAATGACAATCAACTTTACTGCGCATCTTCTCCAAAATTCTTGAATTCATAACATCGCTGGAGAAGGTGAAATAGCACTTGGTAAATCATGATTGTTGTTAAAATAGTATCACTCAGAGAAAAAAAATTAAACAGTTAGATAGCAAACAACAAGGCCAATGACAGCACTAGTCATCATGTTGTTAATATCCCTCAAACATGCTCCATGCTATTGTGCTTTGATTTTAAAAAGTCAGTTTTATATGAAACCTCATCACATTTGCTTGCAAAAATCTAAAGCTCACATTTACAAAAGATTTGCGCAATTTTCACAGTCAAGCTCCAGTTTGCTCTAGCTATTTATTTGCTATTTCTCCGCATGCTTAAAAATCCATGCCCTGTTTGCATGATTTTGGAGTGATGTTTTACTAACATTCTAATGAAAAATAATGGGATCTATGTGTAACATTGTGTTTTAATCTGATGAATACTACATGTAAGTCTGTGTTTACTTTGGCTGGGATGTATAGGAAATGTGTGTATACTATAATCCTATCCTATCCAACAGGTCGGCATTTCCTAATCATTGCTACTTATTTTAAATTATAAAATGGCTAGATAATGATTCCTTTTTCTAAATTCTAAAAAAACTTTCATTCTCTGCAGAAATCTCCTCCCTCTTCCACCAGCAGCTCCTCTCCTCCCAATAATACTCCACCCCTTGCTCCACGCGCCAAACATAAAAAGCCGCCCCACCTGTCCTCGACACCCCTCGCCCCTATACCGGACCACGACCCTCCATCAACCCCTTCAAATACCTCAAGCTTAGCCTCATCTTCTAAGTCGGAGGAACCCACTCCCAGTGCCCCGGTAAAGTCATCATCTCAGGCTCACCCTCCTGCTGCGCTCCCTGAAAAGCCCAAGGCTCACCCTCCTGCCACGCTCCCTGAAAAGCCCCGCCCCCCAGCCCCAGACCACCTCCCGCCCCGCCCCTCTACCGACCCCGCCCCGGCTTCCAAGGAGTCCCATAGCAGTGACCCGCCTTGGAAGACGGAGCTGAAAAACAGAACTAACAAATCTAGTGGACTTTCTTCTGCTTCGGGTGCTCAGGTGAAGTGGTGCAGAAACTAATCACATGGTTAAGGGCATCAAGATGTAGTCTTACTAACTTATGGATTCAAAGAGATGAAATAATGTAGGGGTGTGTGTGTGTTTGATGTGTGTATTCAAGCATTTCCTCTAAAGCAACAAAGTCTCTCTCTCTTGCTCTCTCTCTCTTTCAAATATTAAACATGTATTTAATTCACACCAAAATTACAAAAAAAATTATGATCATTTAATCATTGCTACATGTATTTCAGTTTTATTTCATTAGTATTCAAGGGACAAACTTATTCTCTGCTGAATCTACTGAGCTCTCTCACAGCTGTTATGAAAAAAAGAAAGGAAAAAAAAAAATTAAAAAATATCTCATTCATAGCAACTACCTCAATAGACCAGTTCACGGTTAGCACATGTCCCAAATGACCCCGAATATCTACAGATCTTCAAAATATGAAGAGGTCCCAGTTTGTACATTTGGAAATAATCACTCCTACAGCAATGGAGGTGCTAAACATATAGCCTTTGTTTCCCCCTTTTCAAAGAATACTTCCACCTGTCTATCATGGTCTGCACTGCTTGTGCAAAAATGAATAATGACTACATAATTTTCATTAGCACATATCCAGTATTTTGTCTCCGTGTATTTCACAATTTGGTCTGCAATGACCTTTATCTGCTCATGCTCAGATTGCAACTATGAACTGGCTTATACATGTACATGGCAACTCATGTTTCAATGAGATATTGCACATTTTAGATGTATGTCATTTATACCTTCTATTATTACCATTATTCTTCTTTAATTTGTCTTTTCATTCCTTTTTTTAATGTCTTATTTTATTTCTTCTGTAATACATTCTTTCCCTTTCTCACTCCATAATTTTCTATATATGGTGCTTCCACTTCCATTTATCTATATAAGCTCATGGAGTCTGCATATCACACTCTTGTGAAATAACAATGATTATCAGTTCATTAACATAATACTTGGAACTCGTATGAATCAACATCTAGGAGATGAAGTAATAGATTACCACAGTATGAAGTCGTACTGGCCAAGCTGCCAAGGTTGCTGGTTCCATACAATTTTGAGCTGAACAATGGTGTCATGATCACACCAGCCCCAAACATTGAATTTGCCCTGTTCCAGCCTGTTGCTTAAATGATTTCGCAATAAACCCCATGCGTAGGCTATTTTGTTTAGAACCAGTAACTGGGACGACGAGCGAGTATGACGTCAGCACTTCGGTACTCTATTAGATTTAAGGCATGATAGGTCAAAGGTCAAATTCTCGGAGGTCAATCTACAGTTATAGACCTGTTTACTGATAATGTTATGCATTGTACAATTATAGTGTATTGTATAATGCATAATTTGATTCACTTCAGTAATTAATTGTTAATATGTCTACATGTATGTTGACATGTATCCTTTGTACTGTTCCTTAGCTTGCCCTAATACCTAGAAACCCAACATTTGCATGAGACAATCCAAACATTGTGTTTGATTCCCTCAACTAACAGTTTCCTGCTAATGTCTCATGATTTGAATGTTTGGTTGAGTATTGGATGTGAGTTCTACTAACCTAACACATCGTACTTGAGTTGCATTTGGGCGCATGTTAATTGAATGACTGTCCTTTTATTGTTGTGTTATTTTTGTTTGATGGGATGTATAGGTTGTAGTTTGTGCCTGTGTAACACTTATTTCTACATTCAAAAGTGGTATTTGATACTGTTTGAGTTGTCCATAATATGTAACTGTAGAGGAAATTAATAAAGTTCTCTGAAATATTAGCAGTAGGAGCATCCTTTTAGTATTATTTAAAAATAACATTTTGATTTTGAAAAGAAATTCTATTAGGATATATGATTTTTGTTTATGAAAAGTCAATTTTGCTATTCATTAACGCATAGAATAAAAGGACAATTTCTGTTCATATTTTAGGTTTTTTAGAATGCCAGACTTATATCAAAACAATTATTTTAATTACAGGAGTATCTTGTATCCATTTCTGTTTTGTCTTTTGAAAAGTAAGCTTATTTTATTTTATATTTACTCAGCAAGTCTTCATTACAAAAATATAAAACTGTAATCCAAGCAGGAATTTTTCCTACCTTTGAATACTTGTCAGGGCACCAGGGTTAGACAAAGAAACACTGTGGATCAACAATTTTGCCAGGCTAGTAAATTTTAACAACTTGAAAAATTATTATAATGATGATTATATTTGTGTATCGATCGACCTAGCAACCATCTGAAATGTTTCCTAACTGATTAGTTTGAAATGTTTGTCTCCTCATCTAGTCTGCTGAGAATGGTAGTGGTCCTCCAAGTAGTGTTCCTCCAAGCAGGCCTAAGGCCTCTTCCACCACCACCCCAACCCCTGCCCCAGCCACAGACACCAGCAGTGCTCCTCCTCCTCCAAGGCCTGCTGTAGGTGTTACCAAGACAACACCATCCATCAACTCCTCCGCTCCTAAAGACGGAGCATCGTCGGCAGATGTCCAGGAGCTGAAGAAAGCAATCAAATGTAAGCGGTTTTCTTTTCTTGCATCATTCTTTTAGAGTAGGAACGGATCTAATAATAATATTGGGTTCTTGTATAGCGCTCATATCTGTCATACTTGACACTCCTAGGGCTCCGCAATTATTACCCCGGCTTTAGCACGGCTGCCATTACGGCGCTCTAGCATTTCAAGGAATTAAGTCCTGTCAGGTACCCATTTACATCACCTGGGTCCAGTGTAGCAAATGTAGATTAATGTCTTGCAAAAGGACATTAGTGCCGTGTTGGGGCTTGAATCGTGAACCTTGTGATCCTCAGTCCGGTGACATATCCACTCGAACACGACACCTCTATATATGTCGTGTGCTGAAAGCTAGAAGGGCATTAATTCTTTGTTGAATGATATGAGCTAGATTCCTTCCGGCTCTCACTGAGCAGATAATACATTGTTCTGTTGTTTGTACACCCTTCTGCATACCCTGTTTGAGTAATATGTCACACCTTTTTTGCACTGGCCGTTACCCTTGTATACAGGTACATGTACATATAGGACTGTCATAATCGCAAAATAGATAATCTTCTATGTAGACTTCATTTATTTAATAATTGAAATCCTGGTGCATTTCTTCCATTATTCAAGAGTCTCTCATTTGTTTCAATTTAGTATGTAAGTGCGCTTTGTTTTATGATGTGTTCACTGTCTTTCTACTCTTCATTTCCAGCACTCCACGAAACCATTGCAAGCATAAAGACTGAATTCAAGAAAGAGGTCAAAAAGCTGATGACGGAAGTTGATGAGGAGAAGAAACACCGGATGATGATGCAGGTTGAGTTAGAAAGGATTAAGAAACTTGTAATGGAAGGAGACTGATCTTCATGGAAACCATCTTCTCATCCGTGCAAAAAAAAAGAGACGGTTAATAGTTCTTTCATCAGCGGGACGCTGTTTGGCAACAAACTTCTTTTTTTTTAAAGAACATTCAAAGATTTCATCGCCAAGTCTTTTCAGATATATTTGTTTTTATTTTCAACTCTGCTGCACTCTACGCCTCCTGGAAGACATTCAAGATTGCACACTTTTCCATGTCTTTGTTTAAAAATTATTCCATTAAACAGAATTCCTCCGTCGGACCAAATTGTTTCTGTCATCCTAAACATTCTAGTCTTTATGACGAGGGCATATGTCAAGATATTTGAATTCATTTATATTACAATATAGATACATGTATATTTTACCATGTAAAGATTGTTATACTACAATGATGTATTAATTCACATGTTGATGTATATAAGATTTGATGCACATTTCTTGCTCTTTCACAGAGAGTAGGCTAAGAATACAAATTGTGATCTAATCGCAGGAAGCCCTGATAAAGTTAATAATACTTCTTTGACAGCCTTGGGAACCATGAGAACACAAAGCATGTTTGGAGTCAGTGATGATGATAACTGTCTTTCATATAGTGCTTTTTAGACACAAGTAGCCTACCTTATCAAAGCGCTTTAAAATGTTTTATTATCCTGATCATCAGATTAAAACAAGATTCTGCACTTTATACTGCTCACTTTTCCCTCTCCTGGGTGCATTCTAATTAAACCTGATGGTGATTTTTCAGGTGCGCATATGCTAAATCCAGCTAGATGACATTCATACCCTACTGGATGCCCATTTAACACCTGTGTGAAGAGAAGCAATGTAGATAAAATGCCTTGTTTCAATTGTAAGTGCCTAGTCAGTGCTAGAAGTCAGGACCTAGCTTTATTATTCCAAGTAGTGTAATAAAAGTGCTTGACTATAACTCTCCAAGATGTTAGCATGGAGATAATCTCTATTCCTAAAACATCCAATTTAAAACCCCACTGCACTACTTATAAGCTACTTGTGCCATATATATAGCAGTCAATGCCTAATCTGTGACAGCTGTTCCCCCACGATCCCCTCTTATGTTAATTGAGAGCTGATTTGATGATAACCACCTGTCAGTGACCATGCAGGGAGGTCTAAACCCTCCTGACCAAACTAGTGCAGAGGGGCTTTAATTTTGGTGCTGCCAACTTTATCAATTTTATCAGGGCCTCTCTATATTAAGGTCACATTTAGAACTAAATATGCCTACTACATGTAATTGCAAATGTGAAATGTATATGAGCTTGGAAATAGAATTGTATTCATTTTTAAAATCATTATGGTATGTTACAGTGTTAAGTATGAATGCAGTGTTTAAATAGTATCATACCTGTGTATGTATCTTGAAGCTGTTGTTTTGGGAATTTGTAAGGCATTAATTTGCATGATGATACACAAGAGCTTTGTTCTTCAGGGGAAAATAGGCACTGACCTCACATAGGAAGAAAACAAATAAATAAAATAGAGAGTTAATGAGATGCTCATTATAGCTTGCAATGAGATTTAGTAGTTAATCCAGTTGGGGAGGGGGGGGGGGGGGGGGCTGGATAATGCTACAGACTATAGAGAGATATATATGCAACTATTCAATAGAAATCACTCTTTGAGTAGACCTCTTATTCTTTAATATCTTTCAAAAGGTCCTCCAGCATCATGCTAAATGTACTGTACTCCATTGCTGTTCTTCTCCTTAGAGTTCTAATTTCTGGGCTTTGAGGGAACAATGGTGTTGAATGCCAAGTTCCTTGAAGAAAAAAACACTGTTTAAAAAATTGTTGAAGAATATTTTGTTTTAATGTTTAGCCAGCTCTTTTATGAATTTTCTACAGTGAATCAGCATTTCCTTGCAGTGACATGGCTTTTTTGGTTAAACCAAAGATGATTTTCAGTTTCTACTGGAGCTGTATTGGACTTTTTGTCACTCATACTCAGAGATTCACCACATTACATTTATGGAGTAATTGCTGTACATCCTCTTTATTCATGTTGTTATATTTGCAGCATCCAATAAGGTTGTTAACTGAGATGAGGAAAGGTAATTCAATTCAATTCAATTCAAAGAAGCTTTTATTCAATCTTGTCAAAAAGTCCAAAGACTAAAAATGTGAGTTTACATCAAACATACAATCATATAAAAGAGCATTAAAAAAAATTCATATAAAGAAAAACATGGCAAATGGGAAAAATTATAAATTAAAATAAATTAATTAATGTAAAAGGAATATACTTAATAAATGAGGATAAATAAAAGGAAGAAATGAAATCAAAATTGCATAACCAGCTGGCTTACTCCAATGTATTTTGTAATTTCTTATCTTTTTTCATCTTCAGTAAACAATGTATATTGTGCAGACAGTTGAGCTACATGCTGTATATTTTTTATGCAAAAAAAGAAGGTATGAATTCATAACATTTAAAAATCCGGAACTGATCTTTTATTTGTAAGGATTCATATTATTGATAAGTCTTTCATTTCAATGTCTATGGATGTTTATACACAGAGATTTGTGTGCTTAATGAAGAGTATATTTGTAATTAATTGTAAAACTGTAATTGCAAGCAGCCATGTTGGTCAGACTACAGAGTTGAATCCTACGCTCAATGTGAATGTTATATCATGTGAATAGTATCTGTTCTGTTCAGATTCTTCCATGTGTAAGAAGGAAGGATTTAGAGACCTTTGTTTAATACAAACAAGATAGAAATCAGTCATTATTATTTATGTCTCTTTTGACTCACGCTCTCTTCTCTCATTTGCAAGAATATTCAGGAGTGACTGAAGGAAACAATGAAGAAGATTATTGTGAATGGAGGAAGATGATTTGTAAACGACAAAGGGATTAATTTGAGCCTCTTTTCCATGTTTTTGATGTTTCGTACAATGCAAATATAGCACAATTTATAAAGCTTTAGCCTGCTTCCAAATGGATTGGCACTTTGTTTTGTTCTCCAGCCTTTATATGTCACTGATACAGGAAAGGACGTTTCTGTCCATGTTTTGTCAGTTGTTCCCATTCTTGGGAATGTAAAACAATCTTATGAAAATTATGGCAGATTTTTCTTCTAACATTATTTCTTCCAGTCTCAGAATAACCGATAAATGCACAGTAGGAGCAGGGGAGTACAAAATAGGAAAGCCTGTATCTGCCTGAAAGTGCTTTCTTTGTCTAGTAAAATTGCAAAAGTGGCCATGATTTAAAAGTCTGGAAAGGATGGCAGGTATGTGATTAATTAGAGGCTACTTGAAGTTTAACAAATGGAAATGCTCAAATATGTTGTGAGGTGTCACAAATGATTCTATAAAAAGGGATTAATAAAGCAAGCATAAAGATATACAGTTAATGCTACAAGTTACTTTCAATACTTCACATGCCTTCACATGAAGAATGTATGCTTAATTGTAAAAGTTTCGTTGTCAGATTTATTGAATTTTCTCTCTCCACTTTCCCCTTATTCAAGCATTATGAATGCAGTCTTTCTTTCATTTATTTTTAGTTTGGAAATGATTTAAAGCGATCTTGTTGTTATCCAATCCCATCATTGATTTAAAAATCATTTTATTCATATCAAGGTTGTAGGTGCTTTAGAAATTTGTTTGTATGTACTTAAAGTCTGTTAATGTATCATGTAAAGGAACCCATACAGATGTATTTATTTATTTGTTGATTACATGATTCTCCTGTACGCGATTTCATCTCAATTTAGTGTATTTATAGTGATAGGGTGTTTTTTGTGTGTTTTCATTTTTACTGAATGGTAAAGGAGGAAAGGCAAAGAATTCTGTATCCTGATTGATCGTAATTGCAGTTTTTTATATGTGTGTAAAGCCATAGGGGAATGATGACAGTAATTTGGTGTTCTATTGTGATGCATATAATTTGTTGCCCTCCAAAATTCTTGGTTAATTATTAGCCCAAGTGTATAGAATACCAATATACCTTTAACACCAACTCTTTTACAAGCAAGTTGGAACATTAAATATGAATATTTCAGTACGTGGAGAGAAATACATTAATTGAAATGTATGATAAAGTATTGGATACACAGACCCTTGAGGGATTTGAATCTGGTACATTGTTTGAACATTTGATAGTAATGTTGGAGACATATTATAGTTTTGAAGATGACAATGACCTCCTTGGCTAACCCCAGTCAAACTACCCCCCCCCCCCCAGACAAATGTTCCTTTGAAAAGTAAACAAAAAAAATACTTTAATTACCTGTAGGTACTTTTTTGAGGGTAATAACAGGAATTTCAGGAGTAAATTATTGGGTTTCGTTGTCCAGTAAGGTACATGGAGTTGGCAAGGTGTTATAGCGCTTAGAGATTTCGGTTGTAAGCACTTTATAAGCACCATTTTTATTATTATTATTATAATAATGTGCATACTTGTCCTTTTTGTTAGCCTGGCTAATTCTAAGCCCTCTTTACCCTCCACTCTTAATTCAACCACATTTTATTGAGATTTATATCCAGTATCTTGACCCTCAAAAAGGGCAGTAATTATGAAGAGATATACGAAAAGAATGAAATATACCAATATAGGCCTGAATTAAAGGTTAAACCATTACTTTTATTTGAGCTATTGATTTTAGTAATAAAAGTAAAACTTTTGTAATTTCAGATTGTTTACTATAAATTATTTTCGTCAGTGCTATCATTTCTTCTTCATGTAAATGCGTTCATCATAGATGTTATGTTCTGTAACTGCATTTACTTGTATAAACCCGGAGTTTACCAACATTTGTAAATTCGTATATGCTATGAAAGATGGTAATTATAACAATGTTTTTGCAATGTATTCTTTCAATAAAAGACTGGGAAAATATGAGATAAATTTCTATTATTGTTTTGTATCAAATATGAATACTGAGATAAATAAAACTTTTAGAAAGTTGCTCATTTTGAATTTGAACATTGTAGAAATATTGGGATAGATGAAATAAAAAATTATATATATATAGACCTGAAATCATTGTGAAGTATCTGTATGTATTTTGTGTACTGTTGTTGTTGTTGTTTGGTAGATCTATAGAACATGATACACCTGTATCGGTGAAGAATCCAGGGGTAGTAATTGGTTTTACCTGATGTGTATGCTAGTGATGATTTCCCTGGACTTTCTTTCATCAAGGATGTATGGTTAGGGTTAGTGTTGGAGTTGGATTTAAGGGTATGTTAAGGGCAAGGGCAAGGGTTAGGGTTTAACCGTTTAGGTATCGTGCCGCCTGGGTGGAAGGTAATTATTCGGATATCGTAAGGAGTAGACCGGCTTAATAACATATTCAAATTGTATGCATATTTATTAAACAAAAATTGTTCATATGCCAGCCTGAATGCTTGCCCGCGATGCTTGCCCGACATAACAACAAGTAATGTATGCAAACTGGATTCCAGATTTTGTAGCTCATTCATTAATAACCGGTTCATGGAATTACTCGTCACTAGGTCCCCAGGGGGAAAAAAGTCATGGGGGGGGGGGGGTCGAATCATCTTCTCTATAGATCAGTGTAAGTTGGTAAGGATCACTATTTTTTTAAATCAACACCCACCCCACCCCCTTGCGCCTTATCTAACCTTATTTTTTAAAAAGGTTACATCTACCTGTGTTTTGGAAAACTCGTTTTGCCCCGCCCTGCTAGCAAGACAAAATGCATTCCATGTCATGATTATGCAGTATTGATGAGCTTTTAGCGTTCTAAAGTGCATTTTCAACTTTTTTATATCTATTATTTCCTACCCGGTCGCTCAGCAACCCTTGCATTTCAATAGATGAGATATTTGATATTATTAGAAAGAACCCCAGAAAAGAACAACGCCCTAAACGGGGAAGGGCGGGAAGAAGCCTCCCTCGAATGAATGGAATGGGATAATATTAATTTCCTCTCACTGGCAAATGCTCAATCTTGTGTACATCATTACATTTAAGTGGGATGAGGTTTACCTGTATATTTAGTGTAGTAGGCCTAATCTTAATGATAACTTTTAGTTTCAAAAGAGCACTCCTTTTTCTCTTTGTGTTAATCCCCCTCCCTCAGTAACGCCCATCCCAGTTTTTAAAAGTACCCTTGATTAGAGGCGGCGCTCCCAGGGGAGGCAGGGGGAGTGGGCACAGAGCCCCCACTTTTTCAAGTACCCTAAAAGTGCCCCTTTTTACATAGGATAAGTGCCCCTTTAATTTCGTAAGAATTGTCCCTTTTTTGTTGTTGATTGATTGATTTTTATTTCTCATGCAAAACATAATACAAAAATAATTATATCACAACAAATATGTAATGAAACGATACATATAGTGGAAATAGCACGAGAAAGAGAAAAGAGGAACTAACTTGAAGCAGAGTTTGTTGAAGTGTTAGTTCCTCAGATGCAAATTTTACAATAAAACATGAACATCCCAGTTTACTTTGAAAAGCGCTTCTATTACTTTTCACTTTTTTTATTTTTTGGATTGGGTTTTAAGGCAATTCAGTCATAAGTGACTATTTATGACTATGATAAGTGCCCCTTTTATTTTGACACGTGCCCCATTTCTTTCGACAAGTTCCCCTTTTCCTTAACATAAGTGTTCATTTTCCATTCTCATATAAGTGCCCCTTTTAATCTCTGGTACATGTAAGTGCCCCATTTTAGGTATGAGAAGTGCCATTTCAGTTTTGATAAGTGCCCCCTGCACCTCTGATAATTAGGCCTACCCTATTCAAATTTGAGAGGTGCCCCTTTTACTTTTATAAATGCCCCTTTTCTTTCGTAAGAAGTGCCCCTTCCCCTTTAAATAACTACCCCTTTCAATAACTATCCCCTTTTAACTCCGATAAGCGCACCTTTTATTTTCACATGTGCCCCCTTGCCTTTCTAATAAGTGCCCCTTTTCCGTATAATAGGTGCCCCCATTCGAAAAAAGGAGCTCCTTCCCCTTCCCATAAATGCCCCCTTTTCACCTATAAAAAGTGTCCCTGTTGATTCTCATAAGTGCCCCTTTCCCTTCTCATAATCACCTTTTTAAAAATATCTCTGATGAGCTAGTGCCCCGTTTATTTTAACATGTGCCCCTTTATCTTTTTAATAAGAGCCACTTCCCCCTTCTCATAAAAGCTCCCTTAAACTCTGATCGGTACCCCTTTTATTCCAACAAATGCAAATTTTCCTTTATTATAAGTATCCCTTTTCATATCTGGTCAGTGCCCCTTTCAGCTGCGATAAGTGCCCCTTTTACACCTCTGATAATTTCCCTCTTAACAATGATACGTGCCCCTTTCCCTTTCTGTAGTAAGGGACCCGACATCCCGACATCCTTCGACCAGTCACTGCAGGGTCTAGTGGTTCACACCCGTCCTGGCTTGTCCTCGCCGGTGTGAAACTGCCACCAGTTCCCCGAGAGAGTGCCGTTAGTAACTTGCAAGAGCTACCGGTACTTATCCACCTTTGCAAGCAGCCTTCACTATGCGCAACAGTATAACAGCTGTAAAGTGAAAATGAAGGCGGTCATTGTCGCTTTGCGACAGACAGCTACTACTACTACTACTAATAAGGGACCTATCTCCTTTAAAAAAAATTAAAAAAAATGCCCCTATCAAAATCTGATGGGTATCCCATTCCCGTCGACAAATGCTAATTTACCATTCTCATAAGTGCCTTTTTTCACCCCTAGCGAGTGCCTCTTTTCGGGTAGAGACATTGATGAAAAAGTGTAATACATATATCGTCCTTAACCGTGACAATATTCGTTTCTATCCCTCTCTACTATCATACGAACAGAGGAATCAATCAAGTAGAATCAACTGTAAACTAATTATTATGGTTGCTGACGAAATAAGAGCAGCAATGGCTAAACAAAATTCCCCTAAAATTACAGTGAGACATAAAGCTATATGAAATTATGACTGACACAAAATGATAGTATCTTGGAAACATTGGAAATAACATGAATAACACATAAATGTGATAATGTTTCATGATAATCCTCCGGTACTTAATAAACAAGCAAAACTCGGGAAAGGTGCCAATAAGGATCTACTTGAAGACAATGATTTATGACATACTGTTTATTGACAAGACGTTTAATAAAATATCAAAACGCTAAACCCTGGTGTAATGATAGGATTGTAGGGCTCTTAAAAAGGGAACAGTATTAACACTGTTGAGGCTACCGTGTGTAAACAAAACATTTCATCCACACTATGTACATGAAATGATAAAAATGTCCATTCTTCATCATCAATATGGTAAAATTATCAACGTCAAGAGATCATCCGATAGCAAACTATGCTAATACCTGTGAACAGTGGAATCAACGGGAATAGTATCAATTGTGACTATGACAATAAGAAAAGGCTTAATAGATTGGTAAGTTCGTATTAATAGAATAGAAAAATTCAGCTGCAGATACTGTCAAAAAGTCAAATTTGTTTTGTGGAACCAGAAGTGTCCACTGGGTGCAAGCCTAACATTTCTTTACAGAAATAAAAACTTCTCACAGGACGACTGGGAAGCTGTTGATAACAAATATATAATTGTAAAGACGACGAACAATTAAAAGAGATAATGCATCGTCGTTTAATATCTCGAGAAAGTTCGCTTCTATAAATGTAAACTAGTTTTTTTAGGGGTTAGTAGAGTTATACTCACTTCCCTTTTCCAATTCCTGCGAACAGTGGAATCAACCAAGTGGAATCAACGGACATAGTGTCAAGTGTGACTATGTCAATAAGAAAAGGCGTAATAGATGATTAATTAAATAGGGAAGTTCCCTTAAGTTCGTATCAATAGAATAGAAAATACAGCTGCAGATACTTTCAACAAGTCAGATTTTTGTGTGTGGAACCAGAAGGGTCTACTGGGTGCAAGCAAAACATTTCTTTACAGAAATAAAAACTTCTCACAGGACGACAGGGAAGTTGTTTATAAAAAATAGAATTGTAGAGACGACAAACAATTAAAAGAGGTAATACATCGTCGTTGATCGTGAGAAAATTCATTTCTACCTCTCCCTGCTAATCCCTGTGTACAGTGTAATCAACTGAGTGGAACCAACTGTACAACGAATTATCATGAGAGAGAAATTTGTTACTCCTTGTCATGGTTATAATAACGAGCAGCAGGTCTAAATTCTATTGTGGTTATATAAAGTCGTTCATAATCAATCGTGAAGGCTCAGTGGCAAAGCAGTGGTCTCGTAACTGGGAGGCCTTGGGTTCGGCAAAATCGTTTCTGCCCCCTCACTTCCACAAGGCTGTCTGATTTTACTCATCTCCCTTGCCAGACAAAAATGTGTGAATCATTAATTTGGCAGTATAACTAAACCAAAGATGATTCAAAATACAATACATTCCACAATCTTAATTTTTTTTTTTCTCAGCCGCTAATTAGCTCCTTGCATATTCATAGATGCACCCTTTCTAACAGGAGCGCCAAAGTGAGGGGACAGATGATTCTCTACAGAGTGAGTCCCAAAAAAAAATTACACTTAGAGAATTGCTAATTATTTAAAAAAAAATCATCTATAAACAGTAAATTATTATACATCATATGAAAGAGTGTCTCATCCCGAATAAGTTAGAATCATTTTTGTGTGGTATGTGTTTATGCTTCGATGAACAGGAGGTATTGTTTGCGAGAGTGCACACACTCAATTCACTGGGACTACTTATTTACTTCCAAAGGGACCCCTTTTCAGCCATTTCGTATACGCTTTTACCCATCATGTCTTTATGCTAACTTTGGCTCATTATATTCCTCATGAGAAAAACACATAAACAATCATGACATACGTTGGGATTTACAACCCAAATGGTTCATTTCTATGCTCTGTTTATACACTTACAGACCAGAATTAGATACGCATATCATTATCCAAAACTCTGTAACTTCTTAGTACAATTTGTATTCTAACCAACCCTCTTTGTGTTTCATTTAAAAAGAAATTCAACATTTTCAAAATAGAATTCAAATCCACTCTGCTCCAGGGAAATATCA